TACTTTAGATCTTTAATTCTGAGATAAATTATTTCATGCCTTAGCAAGAGGATCCTGAGCTGCCTCTGTGGCACCAGATTTTTTCTTCTTTTTTTGTTTCTTTTTCTTCTTCTTGGCACCAGTGTCATCAGCCCGGTCACTGAAAAACATGAAAACATTTATTTTGCCTTAGAAAGCCTTGTTCTAATGATACACTTTCATTGAATGCATTGTAGAGACATCCTCATTTTGGTTTGTGTAAAGTTCAGTTTTTCCCCAATTAGTTCACAAATAGATTTGTCCTAAAAAAGTTTCTCAGTCTCAATACTTTTTTTTTTTTTTTTTTTTATACAAAAGCATATCTACCTTTAGTAAAAAATTTATAAATGCATTTCTGATGAACTAGTAAAATCACAAATTTAACACAAAAAATATGTATAAAAAGGTATGTATCTTATGTATAATCAAGTTATTATGCATGAAAAAGTGAAACCAATTTAATTATAATGCTTTTTCTTCCTACAGTTCTTTGAAGACAGACCAATACATCTGCCGGCTGGTCGTTTTATTATTATTATTATTATCATTATAATTATAAACTTGCATCATCAGATACAGGCATCCGTTATCCGACTTATTAGTGTGTTCAGCTGTCATGGCTACAAATCACATGAAACACATGCATTGCTGCTGCATTCCTTTGCAATGCGTTGTTAAAGTTTTCTTTGGTATTTCAATAAAGGTTTCTGTTTTTTCTGAATTAAAACTTGTGTAATGTTTGTTATCCCTGTGTCATTCTTACATTTGTATATGTAAGAAAAATGCATAATCGTTTTCAAATATCGCCACTAAAATGAATAATTAATAAATCACCAGCACATAGTGGGGATAATTTTTTCTATTTCAAAATTATCATAACCACCTTAGGGGAAAAAAAACAAAACAAACAAACATGCATGAGTCAATCTAGATCTTACCATTAGCAATCTTCCTGATTTCTACTTTATAAGGTCTTAATACTCCAAAGTCCATTAAGTGAGCAAATAAAATAATTTCCGTACATATAAACATGTGCCTACACATATTTTCTTTAATAAAATTACTACGCATAGCCTGCATGACCACAACTAAAAAATTTACAGTGACTACAATTATTCACTAGACAGGCTCATGCTTAAATGTTGCTTTAATGTCTGAGCAGAGAAAATTTGGAATATGGGAAAGAATAAACAATTTTATTATCATTACAATTAATATTAAAGTTAAAATCTATATCTACACAGTATTTACTTAATTTCTATCTGTGTTATTCCTTCCTATTGGTCAGGTTGAAAAAGCAGATTGCACCCAAGCATAGTGCCAAGTGTAGCCTTAAATGAGGAGAGGAAGCAGCGAACTAATCCATTAGCTAAACTAGAACAAATAAAGTCACAACGGGATGGACTTTTATTAAAATTTTTATCCAGTCATCTCAAGCTTAAGGAAACACACATCTACTCCGATGCATCCTGAGAATGACTGGGTACTTACAGAGGATTATCTCTGTAGTGTCCAAGATAGGACAGAGGCCAGGCTCTGGGGTTGCATTTACAACCCCCCCACCCCCACCCCCATGCAGATGGTGAATCACATGATCCCTGAACAAGAAATAAATGGCATCCAAGCATGTCCACAATCCATGTAAAGGATGCATAGGAGGTCAGTGAGTGAAAGGGACATTGAACAACAAAAATTCAATAGTCTGTTCTCCATGCTTCCATTTCAGTAGAGGAGAGGATAGCAACTAGAACCATTCATTGTTTGTGTGTTGGGTGGAGGAGGACCACATTTGATGCACTGGAATAAACAGGGTCATCACTTTCACTGGAGTTGAGTGGAGGCAGTCAAGTGACCACACTTAAGTGATATAATAACTATGTCCTTGTGGATCAAAAAGTAATTTTAAAAGAAATTGATTCTGCATTTTGGAATCAATGACCTTATAGTAGCCATGACATAGGAGGGGTCACAAGTGAATTGAGGTTAATCCCAAAAGGGAAATGATATTGAACCCTGTACTGTGGTTCTTTGCTTAGTAAACAGATAGGGAAACACCAAGCCAAGTCAGATTTTCATTAAAGCCAATTTTCCCCATTAGCTTTGAGTTTGGCTGCTTATGGAACATATAGGCATAACGGGCTAAAATGAAAGCTAAAAACACATACTGGTAACAGGAGAAAATCAGAGGTACCCTATCATCTAAATGCATCTGTTCCTTTCAGTTTTGATTTTGTATTCACGTTCGGACAAAAAGGGTTTGACAGCTTTGTTAGCATGATCAGCTAACTAAAATCTGTCAACTGTAGCAAATCCATCAGCACCTGCCAGTGGCGACGCGCAACAAGCTTGTAAAATGAAATATAAAATATATATTTAATCTACACACTGCAAATGAAAGTATGTGATTTCTTGCTTTGATCATTCTTCGACCACCCCCTCCCCAACGACTTGCTGTAGGCATATTCGACGCTAAATCCAGCCTACGTTGCCAAAGGGAGTCTACCATTAACCAATCACGTTGCAGGGTTAACACGCAGACACCGCTTTTAGCCAATAGGGAGAGAGCAAGTAGGCTGGGCTTTAACGAACGACAGTTGCCTTGCCTTCTCGCTAAAGCTTCGGTTAGCATTCGTTTCGATGTAAAGTAATGCAGTATAACCAACAAACTGCCCCTATTTGAAAAAAAGACGCCTCATTACCCGTCGTCCAAATGGTGCTCTTCATTTTCACAGTCGCTACAGTGTCCGTGGTCCTCTACATCTTCTTTCTCCGGGATCGGTGCTGTCTCATTCTCATCCGCCATCTTTGACCAGGAAGTGAGGATCCGCGGCGTGCGCTGGACGCCTTTAAACAAGCTTTGATCCTATTGGCTCAGCGACGGGGACGCGTTTAATGTCGCCCATTGTCCTCGTGTCAAAATGTTTGCTGTAAACAACAGTTTGATATATGTATTAACTGCAGCTTTGAGAGAACTTTACTCGAAGGCTATACATTTCAGATCATTTATAGAGAATAAGAAGGAACGCACACCCACAAATTCACAAAGTCTACGACAAAAATCCATTTTGAGAACCTACAAGGAATGCTCTCTAAAGTTAACACAAAAGTCACTGAAGGTAACACAGTGTAATTCGTTTAAGGAACCCTCAAATGAAATCTATTGGAGAAACGATACAAAACATTCCCTAAAGTTTTATTCAGCATGCATAGTTTTGAAAACCAGCTGAGAAGGACCTATATGAAATATTTCTGTAATGTAAAAAAGTAAAAAAAAAAAAAAAGTTATGTGAATCTTTTCAATAAAGTGTTTTATAAAAAGTACCCTGAATGTTATGGCAAACATTAGTAAAAACTAGATCAAAAATCCCTAAATGTTTTGTAAATTGTAAATCAGTTTGAGAACATATGGGGAACCACAAAATGTAAGGACCATTTGGAGGACATATAGGCAGTGTTTAATAATGATAAAAGAAGACTAACCAGCAGGAAAACCTTTTTGGGATTTAGTTAGAATATTTTTTTAAATGTCGCTTTATGCATATTTCAGGAACAACCAGGAAATAGTCTTTAGGGATGTTGATAAACAAGATTTCAAGCCATCTTCTATCTAAAAGAATGAAGTGCCTCCTTATTATCAACACAAAACCAACATAAAAACAATCCATCCTTTGAATTCGTCTGTCTCAATTCTTAATTGCAGAGTGGGCTCCTACAGTGTAGGTATTTTGGTGTTATTTCCCACATACACACACACACATATACATATACATATATATACATATACCGGTACATATATATATATATATATATATATATATATACCGGTATATATATATATATATATAT